GAACACAAGAAAAATAGTGCTAATTCATGTCTTGCGTATGCTTTGATGGCTGAAACTTTTCCTTTTAACATCGAAGATGCACTGGACTCACCAGATGCGAAACAGTGGGAGGCTGCAATGAATGAAGAACTAAAATCTCTCATGAAAAATGAAACCTAGGAATTAGTCGAACTGCCTCTGGATCGTTGCACAATTAAAAATAAATGGATCTATCGAATTAAAACTAACTCAGATGGAAGTATCAACGGTTACAAAGCGAGACTAGTCGTAAAAGGCTGTTCACAGAAAGCAAATATTGATTACGATGAAACGTTTTCTCCTGTCGCACGTTTCGAATCAATACGAATTTTGATGTCAATTGCATGTGCAAATGACTATGAAATCTATCAATTTGACATCAAAACAGCATTCCTTTATGGTGACATCAAGGAAGATATTTTTATGGAACAACCAGAAGGTTTCAACGACGGTAGTGGCAAGATCTGCAAGTTACGTAAAAGTCTATATGGACTAAAACAAGCACCAAGGCAATGGAACGTAAAATTTAACGCATTCCTACAGAAATTCGGATTAATTGCATCGCAATATGATACATGTGTCTATACTACCTCAACAAAAGACTTTTATCTAGCTCTATATGTTGATGATGGACTAGTTATTGGTAAATCGCTTCAAATGATCAATAAACTACTCTGTGCAATGGAACAAGAATTTGTAACAACCTATTCAGAAGCAGAATGTTATTTAGGTATTCAAATTGAACGGGATCGAAAAATACATAAGTTGCGCTTACATCAATCAATATATGCACAAACGGTACTTAAGAAATTTAAAATGGAGGACTGCAATCCAGTGGGAGTCCCAGCCGACGCACATCAAATTTTAATGAGCAATACAGATGAGGATGATAACCCTGGTCCAATAGCTCATGTACCGTATCAACAATTAATTGGTTCACTTATGTACTTGTCAGTTGGTACGCAACCGGATATCTCATTTGCAGTGAGTACTTTAAGTCAATTTCTGAAAAATCCATCAGAATCACATTGGAAGGCAGCTAAACGTGTGTTGAGATACATCGCTGGCACACTCAATATGGGAATTGAGTTCAACTTATCAGAGACATCAAACACCTTGATAGCATATTCAGATGCAGATTATGGAGCCTGTCCTAATACACGTAGGTCAGTTAGTGGTGTAATACTGTCATTAAACAATGGCCCAATAATTTGGTTTTCGCGTAAACAAGGAATTGTCTCAACCTCAACAACGGATGCTGAATATATCGCTGCACACGATGCCACAAAGGAAATTGTATGGACCCGTGGAATCTTGGAAGAATTGGGACTACGTCAGATTCAACCGACAATATTGTGTTGCGATAATACAGCAGCTGAACAATTAATCAAGAACCCTGTGTTTCATCGACGCACAAAACACATTGACATTAAATATCATTACACACGTGATATTATAAAACAAGGAAGTTTAACTATAAAACATATTGCTAGTAATGAACAATTGGCAGACATATTAACAAAGCCACTTACACGGGAAAAATTTGAGTTAAATCGTACAAGGATTAACCTGATTTGAATTTATATCTTTATAGTTTAGGTTACTCTCAGAAAGAGAGATAATTGTCCTTGTTTTTATTTACTTTGTGTTAAGAAGTTTATGTTCAAATATTGTCTTATAACTATTAACGTCACGAGTGGGAGTGTTGAGATATGCGTTCCGTCCATAGTGACTCTTTACCGAGTTTGATGTACACTCTATGCTTTCTTTTTAAGAACATAAGTGACGCTTAAACACATAGGTGTCACTTCTCGGTCACGCACGTGGTAACCTAGACGTTACCAGTCTTAAGTCGTAGTTCACGTGTTGTTGAAGCCATACCTACAATATAACCTATGTTCTGTGTATTCTTAATTGTACTAACTATAATATATCCAATAAATAACCCAACAAGACATAATTGCAAAATATTGCTATTCATACAGGCGATATTAATGTTCAGTAATAGTAAGCACAGCTTTTTGCAGTGATCCTTATATTCTAGATTACATAGCATTTGGTGATCATCACAAGAATAAGCTGAATAGCAAATGATGCAGAGCTTTATGTTTATCCATCGGCGAGCCTTATAATACTATTTTGCGCATAATGTCACATCTATTACGTACGGATGTATACCTGACAGATTTAAATTATTAAAATTTCCTTCCGTGCTTCTCTCTATTCTTCCCAAATATGATGTATATTCCAATTCGATTTGTCAAGTATGATACTTGCTAGGTCGCTGCAGAGTTCCAGGGGTGAGCTTCCATGTATCTTTTCATGCTTCTTGTAACAATAAGAAATCATTGAAAACAAAGTTATCAAATTTGTGCTGGGCAGTTTGCAAACATGACAAACGTTTGGATGGAAAAACTGATTATATTTATATTCTGTGTATGGATTATCAAGAGTTATTATTTCGCCTATACTCGTCGCGACATGGCTTAGTAATGACGTTCATGAGTATGTTATTAGCAACATTTATTTCGATATAACGCGCAAAGCTCGGTAACTCACAGAATATAACAGAAACTTGTTTGCGAGTTATATATAGATGTATAAACAATAATAGTAAGACAATAATGCTATTGTATATTTTGAAAATATGAGAAACAAAATACTGTTTACGCTTGAATATATACCCCAGTAAAAAATTTCTTATATATTTTCGAATATTATTAAAAATTGTGTATCATCAACTATATCAAAATGAAGATAGCATCAAATAATATATTACCTTCAACATTTGACTGGGTCGGTCATGTAATTTAAATTCAAAAATACATAATAAAATACGCATTTCGGTAACAACATCCTCCAGTTACATAGTTTCTATATGGCCTACACCCGCGGAATTTATTTTTTCTGTACAAGCGTTTTTTAGTTTCGCCTGTTACCTCTTCTATTTTATTTATATTTCCTTTCACTGTCATTTCCGTGTCAGCGGTTAAAAGTAATGGGCGCCTCTGGGCTATTATTGCTGTTATAGATCCAAGCCATGTTCCCATGGAACTAATTCGTGTTTGAAGTATAATCACATTTGGTGGCTCATATGACTCTGAGCGTACATACGTGTAGTACGTTTCTGATACATTTTTAACATAAAGTTTCTGTCCATATGTACGGCACGTTGAACAAACAGACCCTAGATCGCGCGATTCGAAAATTGGCGATTTTATAAGTACAATATGCAATTCCTTTATTCTTCTAGAGAAATGTAAGAAAATATGCCAAGTTTGCAAAGATATTACATCTTTTCTGTTTGCGTCTATAAGATGAACAATGTATTTATCTGTCTTCATTGTATCATATAATATATTTGATTCTTTCAACGCGTAGAATAATGTTAGCGGATTGGATATAGCATCAGAATATACATATTGCTCGAATGTCCAGGCAAGAGTTGAATTAGGATCATCTAACATCTTACGATGAGTATATGGATCTCTACTGAGTACATAGCTATTAATAAATGTAATATTGTCATGAAAATCTTTACTATAAGGGAATTTGGAGAATTTCCTATTTTGATTAATCCATGTCTCTATTTTGTCGTTGATAATATCACTTATATTCATGTTCAGTAATACCAACAGCTCAACGCACTCTTTCCCATGTCCTTTCCATACACTACATAGTATTTGGTGATCATTACAAAAATTGGCTGAATAGCAAATGTTGCAAGGACTTACGTTTATCTGTCGGTAACATACATAACACGTCTTTGCACATAATATCATCTCTTTTTCGTATTGGTATACGTAACGTGACAAATTAGGCTGTATTCGTTGTAAAATATCGTCCCGTGATGCTATCCAATGTTCCAAGCTAGGATACGTATCCGAGAAAGATTTTTCTGTTATTATCCTTGCCACAGCTATGCAGAATTCCGAGTGCAAGATTCTGTGTATCTCCTTATGCTCCTCTGAACAGTAAGATATCAAATTACAGAGATTACACGTTATCAAGTATCTGCTGGGATTTTTGCAAACATGACAAACGTTTGGATTGAAAAATTGGTTGTATTTGTCTTCTGTGTATGGCCCAGCAAAAATTATTACTTTTCTGTTGTTCATCGTTATAAGTATTATTAATTATTATTTATATGAATACTGTTTGTGATATTTACTTCAGAGTAATGCGCGAAACTGGACAACTCAGCTAGTGTCACAGAAATATTTATATGGATTAGATATAGATATTTAAACAATAATAGTACACGGGACATTATAACGGATACAATATGTTTATATCGAAAAAGTTGTTGACAATATATTGTAAATATTCGTATGACACAAAATAGTGATATTCGGTAGTGTAGGGAAACAATATGATACATTCCTTATTAAAATCTCGTTGAAAGATTGAAAATATACTACAAAATTTATCAAGACACATATTAGTAAATTTGTGATAATTTCCAGTGAAAATTAATAATATTATATAAACTAGTAATATTTTTGTAATATATTTTAATGATCATTTTAAATGAATTAATCCATTAAATAAAAATTTCTTTTTATCCGAAGCCTTCAGTTTTCTATTGTTTTGCCAACGGTAGGGATTACTTAACGTTGAAAATGAAGCTACAGACGGTTATCTAAATGGATCTAATTATGTATTTTTAAGATTTGCATAGTGTATTGTAACATAGTATATTATATGTTACAGAATATTGTAACTAATATATTTATTCACAAACATTGAAATGGTGGATCAACATCAGATATGCGACAAATATTGATATAATAAATATTAGTGCATCAGTGATTACACCACTGATTCTCAACTTTTAACGAAATATTATTATGATTTATCTGAACAAGAAACGGTTTAAAACAACTTACTCAATAATCAAAACTTCAAAAAGATTTTGAAATATTATTTTAAATATTAACCTGTTTTATCCTGTTTTAAATATTAATGCTTTTTTATCGAAAAACATGGATACATTTTAACGGCATAACAGAGTTTTATTTAAATAAGTGATTAAGATATACAAATATAATATTTAATAAAAGACACTCACATACCAAAGTCAATTGAGGAATATTAACTGCTGTATAATCGTATATATTCATATATAAATTAGGTACATTTATATATAATTATATTTAATAAGCGATTATATATATAATTATACATAAGCAGCATTAGGCAGCCTCATACAAAATTATGAACAAAGTCATGTAAAATTACGTATAATTAATGTAACTAATTATACATAATTTAATGTGCTGCCATTTGATTTTATATAGTTATATATGATTGTATATAAAAAACTTTTTACGAGTAAAAATTTCGATTTGGACAACATTAACGATATGCTAAAAGCGGACATCATTTGGTAATCAACCATTCTTTTTCAGGACTACGGTCCACGTTATTTAATTGCGATAATCATAGAGAAATTTGTGATGCCAATTAGCTATATTTAGTTGACAGAGAAACGGAGAACAAATACTTGAAAATATATTTATGGAACACAAAATTATATTTCTGTGAAATAAAATTTATTTCTATATGCGTATACTTTAGAATACATTTTTCTTCCTACAAATATTGAAGTATATATTTTTTTCAGTATGGCTAGTTGTATTATTATGCTCATAAAGCATTTTTATAATGTGCCCAAAAAAATGTTTTATGCTATACTTACTGTTACTCGTGAAAACTGATGCAAGAGTAGGCGACATATAACAGATAACTTTATAGAATCATATATACACTTTGTTTGAAGAAATTATAAACTATTTTCCTTCGATACATTTTACTCGATAGTCAACACAACAAAAGGACTGATCTTTAAGTGATCGCATGCAGTTAAATTCTATCATTTTTTCGCTCATTAGCTGCATTCAGGAATGCATCGGGAAAATGCTGAAAGTATATTGAAACAAAGTGTACATATACTATATTTTTACAAAAAACATGAGGGAGAATCGTAGGATATATTTACGAATAATTGTATATGGTTAAAATCCATATTTTATTAATAATTATGATTACACGTTGTATTCATTTTACAATAATTCGGTGATAACCCTTAAGACATTAATAGTTTTAAATACTTCTATACTGCTCGACAAATTTCCATAATTTAAATTGTAAATGTCGATGTAACGAGCTACAGATTTTAGTTGTAAACTATACTATGAAGGACATAAAAATGTAATCTGCATAAAATATATCGCAATTATGTCTGTTACTTGCAGAACACGGGCGATTAAGAAGGGACTTACAAAACAATTACATATAGCTGAGTACAAAATTATGGAATATGACTTACGCGATAGATTAGGCAGTATTCGTTGTAAAATGTCGTCTCGTGATGCTATCCAATGTTCCAAGCTAGGATACGTATCCGAGAAATATTTGTCTGTTGTTATCCTTGCCACAGCTATGCAGATTTCTGAGAGTGAGTTTCTATGCATCTCCTTATGCCACTCGGAACAGTAAGAAATCGTATTGCAGAAATTATACGTTATCAAGTCTCCGCTGGAAAGTTTGCAAACATGACAAACGTTTGGATTGATAATTGATTATATTTTTGTTTCATGAGCAGTTCAATAAAACCTATTACTTTTCCGTTATTCATCGCTCTATGTATTATTGATTATCATTTGTGAATTGTGTTTGTAATATTGGATTCAAAATAATTTGCAAAACGCGGCAACTCACAGCTTGTCATGGAAACATTTATACGGATTCTATATAGATATTTAAACTATAATAATACACGGGACACTAATAACGGATATAATATGTTTATATTGAAAAAGTTGTTGTGACAAAGTAAATTGCAAATATCGAACTAGAAATATTCGTTAGTGTAGGG